AGTTCTCCAGAATTATCAGGTCATACTGGCAGTTTTTTATAGTCATAGGAAAGTGAAAAACTCGTAATTCATACATTACTGGTAGGTATACAGGTTTGAGCTGAGGAAGGGAAAAGTAGCTCTAATTTATCAGATCAAGAGCCCTTTATCAGCATTAAAACACCCCCTCCCCTCTCTTCCTCCTAAATTAAGAGTACTGCCAGTCTAAAATTATTTAATAGCTTGTCCCGTCCGTTAGAGAGCACATCATCTTTGCTTTCAACCTCGTTCAACATCCTCACATAATTCCTTGTTCTCTCATTCAACACCCTCACATAATTGTTCTCTCATTCAACATCCTCACATAATTGTTCTTTCATTTAACACTCTCACATAATTGTTCTTTCATTCAACACTCTCACATAATTGTTCTCTCATTCAACATCCTCACATAATTGTTCTCTCATTCAACATCCTCACATAATTGTTCTTTCATTTAACACTCTCACATAATTGTTCTTTCATTCAACACTCTCACATAATTGTTCTCTCATTCAACATCCTCACATAATTGTTCTTTCATTTAACACTCACATAATTGTTCTTTCATTTAACACTCTCACATAATTGTTCTCTCATTCAACATCCTCACATAATTGTTCTTTCATTCAACATCCTCACATAATTGTTCTTTCATTCAACACTCTCACATAATTGTTCTTTCATTCAACATCCTCACATAATTGTTCTTTCATTCAACATCCTCACATTGTTCTTTCATTCAACATCCTCACATAATTGTTCTTTCATTCAACACTCACATAATTGTTCTTTCATTCAACATCCTCACATAATTGTTCTTTCATTCAACATCCTTACATAATTGTTCTTTCATTCAACACTCACATAATTGTTCTTTCATTCAACACTCACATAATTGTTCTCTCATTCAACATCCTCACATAATTGTTCTTTCATTCAACATCCTCACATAATTGTTCTTTCATTCAACACTCACATAATTGTTCTCTCATTCAACATCCTCACATAATTGTTCTTTCATTCAACACACTCACATAATTGTTCTTTCATTCAACATCCTCACATCATTGTTCTCTCATTCAACATCCTCACATAATTGTTCTCTCATTCAACATCCTCACATAATTCTTTGTTCTCTCATTTACTGCTTATTGTCTTTTATAAGTTTTCAACTGAGACTAATATACTGCACGACCTTTACTTCCATTTACTCTTGTTGTGGCTTGTATCCCTCCTCCTGCTTACCCTCTGGCGTCACTCACCTGTTTTTCATGGTGCGCTTTATAATCTTCATCAGTTAAGCTTATGTTCATCATGGCTTAATACTTGATGTAAAATTAAGAAAGGTTTGTATTTGGCAACTTTTAACTTTTTTTTTTTTTTCAACTTTTTTTAAGGAAATTTCAATTTTCCATTAAAGTTAAAATGTATATGGTTAAAAATGTTATTAATGAGGCGTTAGTAGACTTTTGGGTGACATCACGTGAGGACCTAAAGGACCCAAACGGAAGTGAGCCACAATGTTTGACTTTCTTGGGTTATCCTGCGTTGTACATGAATGGTATACAGTACCCACAAGATGAAGAATTACACATGTGCAACATCTGGGTATCTTTATTTGTAGACGTTTCTCCATCTAGTTACTTTGTCAGTATAAATTGAAGGACATAATGGGAAGACTGTAAAACTATATACACAAAACGAGGTAATCAGTTCCTCGGCCTTGGAGTTGGTGAACACCATTATTGTGATTGTTTTATTCATTAATACGATAGGGAAAAAAATCCAGGAACTTGTTTTTGAGTAGGGTAGACACTATGCCTAACAGGACGGATTACTATAGCACCTCGTGAAAGGGTAGTTAGAAAGTATAACTGTTAAAGACATCAGACTGTTAGGAACTGAATCAGTACTTGTTGTCAGAGGAGGAGGAGGAGGAGGAACATTCAGAAAAGTTGACTGTCATGTGAGGGAAGTTAGGTAATGGCAAAGGTGATCAACCTGAGAGGAGAAAAATCGCATAGATCGCCGAGTAAAATAAATGAAGACCTGGCATTATCTGACATTTTAGGTTCAACTTTTAACGTGGCTCACTTGTTGATATTTTTAATAGAAACAGCATGTTAACCTTTTATATGTATTTTATTAGGTATTTGTCGTGTTTGTCTCGTGTGTGTGTGTACTCACCTAGTTGAGGTTGCGGGGGTCGAGTCCGAGCTCCTGGCCCCGTGTGTGTGTGTGTGTGTGTGTGTGTGTATGTGTGTGTGTGTGTGCGCGTGTGTGCGCGCGCGCGCGCGCTCACCCAATTGTACTCGCCTAATTGTGGTTGCAGGGGTCGAGACTCAGCTCCTGGCCCCACTTCTTCACTGAGTGCTACTAGGTCCTCTCCGTGCTCCATGAGTTTTATCATACCTCATCTTAAAGCTATGTATGGTTCCTGCCTCCACTACCTCACTTGCTAGGCTATTCCACTTCCTGACTACTCAATGACTGAAGAAATAATTCCCAACATCCTTTTGACTCATCTGGGTCTTCAACATTCAATTGTGACCCCTTGTATCTGTGTCCTCTCTCTGGAACATCCTGTCTCTGTCCACCTTGTCTATTCCACACAGTATTTTGCATGTCGTTATCATCTCTTCCCTAACCCTCCTGTTCTCTAGTGTCGTCAGGCCGATTTCCCTTAACCTTTCTTCGTAGGACATTCCCCTTAGCTCTGGAACTAACCTTGTCGCAAACCTTTGCATTTTCTCTAATTTATTGACGTGCTTGATCAAGTGTGGGTTCCAAGCAGGTGCTGCATACTCCAGTATGGGCCTGACGTACACTGTGTACAGTGTCTTGAACGATTCCTTACTAAGGTATCGGAACGCTATTCTCAGGTTTGCCAGGCGCCCATATGCTGCAGCAGTTATCTGGTTGATGTGTGCTTCCGGAGACGTGCTTGGTGTTATACACACCCCAAGATCTTTCTCACTGAGCGAGGTTTGCAGTCTGGCCACCTAGCCTATTCTCCGTCTGCTGTCTTCTTTTCCCTTCCCCGATCTTCATGACTTTGCATTTGGCGGGGTTAAATTCGAGAAGCCAGTTGCAGGACCAGGTGTCCAGTCTGTCCAGGTTTCTTTTTAGTCCTATCTGATCCTCATCTGATTTAATTCTTTTTATTAACTTCACCTCATCTACGAACAGGGACACTTCTGAGTCTAAACCTTCCATCATGTCATTCACATATACCAGAAATAGCACTGGTCCTAGGACCGACCCCTGTGGGACCCCGCTCGTCACAGGTGCCCACTGTGATACCTCATCACGTACCCTGACTCGTTGTTGCCTCCCTGTCAGGTATTCTCTGATCCATTGCAGTGCCCTCCCTATTATACGCGCCTGATCCCCTAGCTTCTGCACCAATCTGCTGTGAGGAACTGTGTAGAAGGCCTTCTTGCAGTCCAAGAAGATGCAATCAACCCACCCCTCTCGTGTCTTACATCTGTTACTTTATCATAAAACTTCAGTAGGTTTGTGACACAGGATTTGCCTTCCATAAATCCGTGCTGGTTGTCGTTTATAAGCTTGTTTCGTTGTAGGTGCTCCACCACTCTCCTCCTGATAATCTTCTCCATGATTTTGCATACTATACACGTCAGTTGTGTGTGTGTGTGTGTGTGTGTGTGTGTGTGTGTGTGTGTGTGTCCTGGGTATTTGTACCCAGTGTATGTGTAAACTTTTATATTAATTTTTTCTTGTTTTTTTGGTTTGTGTGAATGTCGTAGTATATTGACTTAATGCAGTGTCCATTCTGGTTTTGTGACAGTAGTTGTCAAGAGTATGGTATAGTTGTGTTTATAAGGATCTCTTGTTTCCATTGTATCTTTGTGAAGAAGCAGTTCTCCGGTGTCTAGTTTCTTTCAGGTAGCAATTTTTTAGTGGTTTCGAGCAAGTTTTTGAAAAATGTCTAATGTAGTTGTTTTGAAGAATTAGAATTGTGGGAGACATGTAGCTGGTGGTCATGTAGCAGAGATGGTCGTGTAGCAGAGATGGTCGTGTAGCAGGGATGGTCGTGTAGCAGGGATGGTCATGTAGCAGAGATGGTCATGTAGCAGAGATGGTCGTGTAGCAGAGATGGTCGTGTAGCAGGGATGGTCGTGTAGCAGGGATGGTCGTGTAGCAGGGATGGTCGTGTAGCAGAGATGGTCGTGTAGCAGAGATGGTCGTGTAGCAGGGATGGTCGTGTAGCAGAGATGGTCGTGTAGCAGGGATGGTCGTGTAGCAGGGATGGTCGTGTAGCAGGGATGGTCGTGTAGCAGGGATGGTCGTGTAGCAGAGATGGTCATGTAGCAGAGATGGTCGTGTAGCAGGGATGGTCGTGTAGCAGGGATGGTCGTGTAGCAGAGATGGTCATGTAGCAGAGATGGTCATGTAGCAGAGATGGTCATGTAGCAGGGATGGTCGTGTAGCAGAGATGGTCATGTAGCAGAGATGGTCATGTAGCAGAGATGGTCATGTAGCAGGGATGGTCGTGTAGCAGAGATGGTCATGTAGCAGAGATGGTCGTGTAGCAGGGATGGTCGTGTAGCAGGGATGGTCGTGTAGCAGAGATGGTCATGTAGCAGAGATGGTCATGTAGCAGAGATGGTCGTGTAGCAGAGATGGTCGTGTAGCAGAGATGGTCGTGTAGCAGAGATGGTCGTGTAGCAGGGATGGTGGAGTAGCCGTGATTGGGGGAAGGGTCGTGTAGCAAAGATGGTGGTCGTGTATTTGTAGTAATATCTTAAATTGGGAAGAGTGCTTCAAGGCAGACCACAAGTCTTTCATATAATATGCACTTAAATAGTAGGGAGAACGTGATTATTAAGTTATACTTTTTGCCTGGTGTTTAGGCCCACTGTATTAAATTTCTCAAGCATTTTTCGTAACTGTTGACGTCATTTACATTCTCAGTGTATTATTATGACTGGGATTATAATACCAATGAATTTGAATTTTAAGCATATTTTATAACAAAATAAATACAAATACTAATCTAAGAGTACATAACATGGTTAATGGCTCTCTGGGCGTCAGTTATTAACTGCTTCGAGCAGAGGCAAGAAAAAACTGTTCTTTTGAGAAGAGTTTCCATAGTAATCGCTGACGGCTCCGAGGAGAGGAGCAGTGTTGAGAAGTTTCGCTGACGGCTTCGGGCACAAGGGGCCAGGAAAAGGGTATTTATGAGAAGCGTAGACAACATGTGATTATTATATACTTAAAATGCATTATTATTTAAGAACAATAGCATATCTCAATTTTCTACTACAGCCAGGTCCCGCTTTACAATGTTTCGCTAATACAGCGCTTTCTATTATACCCATTCATTTATTCAGCCTTCCTACAATAAATATATTCATCACTCACTATAAGCTAAGGAGGAAAATGTGTGTGTACTCTATTCATTTTTAGGCCTAGCTCAATCGCTCACTTATTATAGTGTTAACATGTTATCAGGCTTTATGCGTTTGAAAGCGAAAAGAGACTAATTCACTTCACAGTGATTTTTGCTTTACATTATTAGCCCAGAACCTAACCTGCTGTATAAGCGGGGCATGCCTGTTTTTGTTTCATAGTTGTCAAATATGCAACTTTATTATTTAAACATTTCTTCCACGAAAAGAATACTGATGCTGGGAGAAACACAGTGAAGAAAACCACTTGATATTATGTTTGAATATACTATTGTATTACGACTCGGTAAATGTTTTCACAAGCGGTGTAGTTAATATTAAAGCACCCAAACGTCAAGATAAGGTTTAAGAGTATGGACACGTGACGGTATTGTAAAAGTGCTATTGTAACTAAGACTTGGACGTACACAGGACGCAAACATGGATTCCTGAAGAGGCCAGCGTAGGGCGGGCCAAGAGACTAGGTGAGTGAGCGACCCTCGACATCAGACCAATTGGTCTCTAAGCATTCTTGTCGCTGAAAGGTCATTAAGTTGTTAGGGGATTGTTGTAGCTCGATGACTAATGTCATCTGAGGAAGTGGGGTCCTTCAAGCTACATCGGAACCTCCCTTCAGAGACTTGACCTCGCTGGATAACTTGTCCTCACTGGATTGAACTGAAGTGGACTGTTTAGCTGTGGAGGCGGGTCTGTGTACTGTACTGGACTGTTTAGCTGTGGAGATGGTTCCATGTGTTGTAATGGACTGTTTAGCTGCGGAAATGGGTTCATGTGCTGTATTGAATTGTTTAGCTGTAGAGACGAGTCCATGTGCTGCTGCACTGGACGGTTTAACTGTGGAGATGGATCCATGTGCGGCACTGGGGCTCTGGAAATTTAGCTGTGGATTAGTGTGGGCAAGTGATACGCCGGATGTCTGAAAGCCACCAAATCCTACGTTATTAACAGGTGCTGCACCACCTTGTGTTAAAAAGATTGGTTCCAGTGACTGAGGATTGACATTGCCAATGCCGATTTCACCCCTGAAAGTGAGGGAAGGATCTGGGGTCACAAATGGACCAGCAACATTTGTAAACGTTCGAGACAGTGCACTAGTTCGTTCCTGCGGGCGAGGAGTGCCAGATGTTAATGGTGTGCTAGTGATACCAAAGGACGGGACAGTCCCTATAGCCGGAGTTGCAATGGGAACATGACTAGCAGGGCCAAACGTTTGAGCAATAGGACCAGTCTGTGAAGGAGGACCAAAGGTTTCAGCAACAGAGCTAGTTTGAGCGGTAGAGCTAGTGTGAGGACTGAATGTTTCAGCAGATTGAAGAGCATGACCACTCTGGGTGCCAGGACTCTGCCTGGACTCAGCCTGGACAGCTAAATCAAAGGCTTCAACATCAGGACCACTTTGGGAAGTATGACCCAGGGTTTCAATAGCAGAAACAGCAGTTTGAGCAACAGAACCGGTTCCGACAGTAGGACCAAAAATCTGAACACTTGGACCAGTTTGGAGAGCTGGGTTAAACGTATGAACGACAGGATTGGTTCGAACATCCGGATCAAGAGCTTGAACAGTGTGGCCAGTCTGGGTAGCAGGATCAAAACTACGAATAGTAAGTCCAAAGTTTTGAGCAGTAGGGCCGGTCTGGAGAGCAAGGCCAATATTAGGGCCAACGTTGTTGGCTGTGTTGAATGTAATAAGTGTACCAGAGCTCCCGGGTCGTGGTGTAACGCTTTCATTTGAGCCAAGTCCTTTATCCTCGTCTTCGTGTGGTTCTTCGTCTTGGTCCTCAATGGAGAGGGGTAAATTGTCATCCAGAAGCCGTTGATCCACGATGTCGATAATCTCGTCACTCTCAGCAGGAATGCTCTCTGTTTGTGCATCGGGGGAGTGGAAGGTGCTGGGGAGTTGGGCCTCGAGGTGGGAGGGTCCGGTACCAGGAATCTGAGCATCGAACCGGGAGGGTCCAGTACCAGGAATCTGAGCGTCGAACCGGGAAGGTCCGGTACCAGGAATCTGAGCGTCGAACTGGGAGGGTCCGGTACCAGGAATCTGAGCGTCGAACTGGGAGGGTCCGGTACCAGGAATCTGGCCGTCGAACTGGGATGGTCCGATACCAGGAATCTGGCCATCGAACTGAGATGGACCGGTACCAGGAATTTGGATGCCGAACTGGGAGGGTCCGGTACCAGGAATCTGAGCGTCGAACTGGGAGGGTCCGGTACCAGGAATCTGAGCGTCGAACTGGGAGGGTCCGGTACCAGGAATTTGGACGCCGAACTGGGATGGTCCGGTACCAGGAATTTGGACGCCGAACTGGAAGGGTCCGGTACCAGGAATTTGGACGCCGAACTGGGATGGTCCGGTACCAGGAATCTGGCCTTCGATCTGTGAGGGTCCGGTACCCGGAATCTGGGCGTCAATCTGGGATGGTCCGGTACCAGAGATTTGGACGCCGAACTGGGAGGGTCCGGTACCAGGAATCTGGCCGTCGAACTGGGATGGTCCGGTATCAGGAATTTGGACGCCGAGCTGGAATGGTCCAGTACCAGGAATCTGGCCGTCAAACTGGGAGGGCCCGGTACCAGGAATCTGGCCCTCGAACTGGGATGGTCCAATACCAGGAATCTGGCCGTCTAACTGAGATGGACCGGTACCAGGAATTTGGATGCCGAACTGGGATGGTCCGGTACCCGGAATCTGGGCGTCAATCTGGGATGGTCCAGTACCAGAGATTTGGACGCCGAACTGGGAGGGTCCGGTACCAGGAATCTGGCCGTCAAACTGGGAGGGTCCGGTACCAGGAATCTGGCCGTCGAACTGGGATGGTCCGATACCAGGAATCTGGCCGTCTAACTGAGATGGACCGGTACCAGGAATTTGGATGCCGAACTGGGATGGTCCGGTACCAGGAATCTGAGCGTCGAACTGGGAGGGTCCGGTACCAGGAATCTGAGCGTCGAACTGGGAGGGTCCTGTACCCGGAATCTGGGCGTCAATCTGGGATGGTCCGGTACCAGAGATTTGGACGCCGAACTGGGAGGGTCCGGTACCAGGAATCTGGCCGTCGAACTGGGATGGTCCGGTATCAGGAATTTGGACGCCGAGCTGGAATGGTCCAGTACCAGGAATCTGGCCGTCAAACTGGGAGGGTCCGGTACCAGGAATCTGGGTGCCGAACTGGGCTGGTTCGTTACCGGGAATCTTAGCATTGAGCAATAAGTGTTCAGTGCCGGTAATTTTAATGTTGCCCGGGGAGACGGCGAGGAAGGCGTGAGTTTCTTCGTGGGGTTGTAGTATGACTGGCCGGCGGAAGTTACGAAGAAAAGGTTTCTCGTCTTGGGGATCAGTAGCCGTGAAAAAGTGAAATTTTCCTACGCGCACTGAAGGGGGATTCGGTACACCAGCCTCGTTCAGAGAATTTACAGCACCGCCAGTTAGCTGATAAAGAATATTTGCAATCGTCTGACTCAAGTCACTTGAACTTTCCTCATTATTAACAACATTACGCCCGTCTTGACCGTAGAATGCCTGGCTGGGGGTGTCATGGCTTGGTGCCTGGACGCTGTACAGCTGTGAGGGAGGGGAGATGGCAGGGGCACTATAGGTTTGCACCAAAGAGGGAGCATTACCGACTGCTGCCTGAAGTGACGGACTAATAGACTGTGCACCAAGAACCACAGAGTTTTGTGCAACCGGAAAGTTGTATTCCACTGGAATGCTCGACTTGTGATCACTATCTATAGAAGAGCTCGACACTGGTGTACTTTCTATGGGCCTAACAGTATCGCTTTGTTGGGGTGACACAGCACCCACAGGGAAGGAGGTGCCACCCGGAGTGCTGGCACTGGAGCTGTGACCTGTTGTGTGAAGTGACGAGTGACCAGCGTCCTCAGCATGCAGTTTATCTGGTGCTCCCCCTACTAAACCTGAAAGATTAAAAGAAAACCAAAATAAATATCACAGCTCAAATATAATGATTATGAATTAAATTATTGATTCTATCCTGACATTATAACAGCACTGAGGATCAATCAGTATGACAAGAATTATTTGTAGTCTATTTCAGTTCTACTTATTGATAACGACAAAGAAAAGTGTTATTGTTTTAAAAGTAGTTTTGTCTATTTTCACACAGGAAGATGCAATTAAAGTCCCAGAATTTGATAATTTATAATTATCAAAGATTGTAAGAAACTGCAGAAGATCACAGGCTCCAGTTATATGGTTAGCAAACAACTAAACGGATTAAACCCAAACCTGGATTAATTCTCGAATCCTGAGAACTGTTTTTAAATGTTACTCAAGAATACAAAGAGGAACATAGGAACTTCTCTAATAATCATTACAGACTGATATCGTATTGGAGATGTGAATGTTAACAACTGAGAAACCTATTTACTAAATGGTAAAACACTTCCTGGTTAATGATATCTGAAATCTTGAAGCTGTATCAATTTTTCGTGTCTATCAGATGAATGAATTGTTTTTGAAAAGACCAACCCAATAATGACTTTTATTGGTAATAAGATATTTGACTTTTTTGACTTTGTATTTCCATATTGTATTATGTACAATAGCTCAGCCGGCACGACGAACGAACTGGCCTGTTAATTCAACTGTGTAAAAAAAAAAGTATATTGAATTCGAAACAAGCTGGTGAACATAGTTTGAACAGTGACTCAACAGTTTAACCATTGTTCTCGTCTAATATTATTATTATAATAACTAAGCGCTAAACCCACAAGTCATACAGCGGTATTCTCATCTAATATATTTACTAGCTTTCTTCACTATCATATTTAATAATTCTTAGTCCTGTAATGCTCCTTCTGTTTAGGAGATCTGGTGTGAGACCGGGGCGCGGGAGCGATGATCTCTGGAACCATTGATATAGGTTAGGCTACCTTACATAAACCTGTGAGGTAACTTACGTAACTGTATTTATGTGTACATGTACCTGAATAAACTTACTGGCCGATACGTCTGGCAACGCAGAGCTGAATATAACCAGGAAAAATTCAAATTTGCAGTAGTCATCACACGGGGGAGGGGGAGGGGGGTCACACAGCAGTGAGACAGGTTAACACCACATTCTCATGAAGTGAACACTTGTCATGAAAAGTGATTACACAGTCATGAACAGTGAGTAGCACACACTGTTATCCTTCATAATCAAGCTTCGTCAGGTTGGGCAAGACCTGGTGGTGGTATGACCGGTTATTTAAGACTTATTTACTTTACTCCCATTGTTCGTTCACCTCGATTTTACCTCTCATTGCTATTTAACAGGTTTTTCCTTCAGAAAATGTTATTTTTTAGTGCAGTCAAAGTTAACAAATGGACAGTGAACAGTAGTTAATAACCATTAGTTAATAACAGTTAATAACCATAGTTAATAACAGTATCGTAATATTAAAGCTATTCCACTTAGAATGTGGTAGAACTAGACTAGTATGAAGATTTTTTCTAGTGGCAAGAAAGTTATCAGAGTGGCCCGAAAAATGTGTTAATAGCATACCAGCTTACCATAGACGTGGGATAGTATGAGCACAACTCTATAACTGGAATGATACAAAGTGAAAAAGGCAACTTGGAAACAAATTATTTTGGGTTTACTGCGAGGTAAGTATTTCTTTATATTAGTGTGTGTGTGTGTGTTTGATTAATTTCAGTATTAAAGCACTTCTTGATGTAAACTCCGTCACATGTCCGCCGTCACTACATGACCATCAACTCTTGAAGTTTAATGACAGAATCACAATAGAGAAAAGTACGACACTATGACTGGAATGGCAAGCCCCTGGAAAGTTGGCACTTCATTTATACTGTGGAATTTATCATGAATTTATCTCATAAATTATGTTTGGGTGACTGACCTATGAATGGTTGGTTAGCTTGTCTCATGCAGGGATCTTACACAATGGAAAGGAAAATACCTTTTCCTCACAGGGGCTACACAATACTTACTGGTTTAACACTTTTCCTGAGTAAAATAAATAATAATAGCCACTTTTTATCGGTGTTTGCTTGACTTTCAAAACATTACAATTTTCAACTCTTGTACATAACAGATGATAGCACCAGGTTCCTGTTTTCCTGTGTGGTATGTCTTCTGGCGCACGCCCTCGTCATTTGTCCTTTTTTTTTTTTTTTTTAGAATTCAGTCCGTCTATTCCCTTAGCTGTAGTTACTAGCTAGTCTTGCTGCTTCATTTTTTTGGCTGCCCTAATTTACCTCATATAAAATCATCAACATCTATTGCTGATTCTGACCATATATTGGAGCGCACACATCTCATTTATTCTCAGTAGATAAGATATTCTTTTAAAAAGCTTTCGTCATAATTAATGTCTCACTTGTCAGTGTTATTGGTTCTACTTTATTTTCATTTTGTATTTTCTAAAGGTTCCCAGGCCCTCGTGGGTTTTTGGTTATAATTATCTAAAGGCTTCTGTCATATTCTACGTCTCATTTGCTAATATTAATACCTGTACATTATTACCATACTTAACTTTCATAAATAATGTTTATTTTATTTTCTGGTTTTCTGTTAGTGACTGAGTCTTTACCGAGGCCTTTTTAAAATAACAGAACTGAACTTGATTTTGCACCTACCTTTCTAGGTACCTGAACACCTTGTACGTTCACTATTTCACTGCCTGTTATTTCTGATGGTTCAAACTGCCTCATGCTCGTTTATATCGAATTGTAATCGAAGTTCTTGCGAGTTTCAGTATTTCAGCATAGTGTTTCTAGTAAATACTGAAACTGTAGAACATATAAATACTTATCAACTTGTGGTATACTGAGAGGATAATTTACACAACCTATCCTGATGTGGGGGACTAAATGCTATATAATACGCTTCATTTTTATGTCAACAGAGTTTGCTTTGATCAATATTTTAAGAATTAAATTATTCTTGATGTGTACAGGTTAATTACTGAATGACCACCGCAGTTGAAAGACTTTAAATTTAGCAAAGTAATTGTTAGGTGTTGCCCGGTAAGAGTGAGAATGCAGAGGGAGGTAGTGACTTACCTAGTAGAAACACCGGGAGAAGAAACCGTAGCACCATCACGCCCATTCACTTCACTTTTCTGTCCTGCACAAAGCACACAACAACGTTAGTCAGATATCGGACATCACTTACCTCATATTTCCCTGTTGCAAGTTTCGTATATTAAACGTTATATTCAGCTCTGAAACCAAACGTACATATTGTACACCAAATATAACTAGTAAACAACATATGCACGCACTATGCATGGGATTTAAAGTGATATGTCATCATAATATAGCTGTGTGTGTGTGTGTGTGTGTGTGTGTGTGTGTGTGTGTGTGTGTGTGTGTGTGTGTGTGTGTGTGTGATGGTAAGTTTGGGCTGGTGCCTTTGATATTCCTCGCTGGAAATCACTGATTGGCACAGTCTTCATTTTGCATATGCTGATTCTTTCTCTTGGCCAGTAGCCAAAAGTGAATGGCTGCCCAGTCATGTTTTAAATTGAACATCGTGACTGTATAAATGACCAAACTGGCCGTGTCAGCTGATAATGTGCTAGTAGTGTACAGATGGAAAATATACAGCTGCAGATAATTGTGCTGCTGTTGGTAAATGTACAGCTGGAGGTGAGTGTAAAAGTTGGTATTAGTGTCCGTTGGTGGTGAGTGTACTCACTATGTGCACTGGCGAATCTGACTTTCTATCCTTCCATCAGCGAAGTGAAAACTGCCTTCCCTTCTCCATCTGCCTCCTATTTATACACTCTCTGCAAGCAAAAAAACTGGTTCTTCATGCCCGCTGATACCTGCCCCCTCCCCCCAAACACACACACAAGACTGTACACCATGTACGTCAGGCCCATATTGGAGTATGCAGCACCGGTATGGAAACTACACCTTGTCAAGCACGTCAAGAACTTGGAGAGGTGCAAAGGTTTGCAACAAGACTAGTCCCGGAGCTAAGGGGTATATCCTACGAGATGTTAAAGGAAATCAACCTGACGACACTGGAGGACAGGAGGAATAGTGGGAGACATGATAACGATATATAAAATACTGAGAGGAATTGACAAGGTGAAAGGGACAGGATGTTTCAGAGATGGAACACACCAACATGGGGTCACAACTGGAAGTTGAAAACTCAAATGAGTCATAGGCATGTTAGGAAATATTTCTTCAGTCATAGAGTTGTCAGGAAGTGGAACAGTCTGGAGAGTGATGTAGTGGAGGCAGGATCCATACATAGCGTTAAGAAGAGATACGTTAAAACTCATAGAACAGGAAGTGGACCTAGTAGCGACCAGCAAAGAAGCGGGGCCAGGAGCTGTGACTCGACCCCTGCAACCACATATAGGTGAGTACACAGATTGGCTACCAGAGAAAAACAAGGTTATGAAAATTGGGTAAAGAGGTAAGACCAGAAACGTGAGTATAGACTCGGGAGGACAGAGGCTGCAAATTTCATTCAGGAAGAAAGGGCTGGGGGGGGGGGGGGTTGAGCATACTGCTAAGCGTATCGCCAGAAGCACACATCAGTCGAATAATCTCTGCAGCGAATGCTCAGTTATCAAATCACGGCCGTATATACTACATATCAGGCCTACCTTGGATTATTATTATAATCAAGTGGAAGCGCTAAACCCGTAGGATTATACAGCGCCTGGGGGGATGTGGAAGACATTCAGGCTTAATTCGGGGAACTGGAGCACAGATCCAATTCCCTAAATCAAGAGCCCCTCACCAACTTCAAGGAACCTTCCCTGAGGGGGGCCTACCTTGGAGCATGCAGCAGCATCCTAGAACCCGAACCTGATAAAGCATGTCAAGCTGGAAAAAATTGTCGAGGTTTGCAGTGCAGCTCCAGAGCTAAATGGCATGAGTTCTGTTGAGAGACTAGAGGTGCTAAACCTGATGACATTATAAAACAGAAGGGTCATCGAAGACGTAACGACTTCAAATTACAGAAATTGATAAGGTGGACAGAGACAGACCGTTCCAGAAGCAGAGAGCACACACGCCAGGGCACAGTTGGAAGTTACAATGTCAGAATATCTTGTGAACCTCAGAGGGGTCAGTAAGTGGAATGACTTGGACAACTCTGTGGTAGATGCAGGATCTATACAAAGTTTTAAGGATATTCATGATAGAGCTCAAGATGCCCTTACTTAGAATACAAGCCCAGTAATGGCTAGTTTGGGAAATGAGCCAAGACTACCTGTTTAACTAAAAGTAGGAGAGGACACTCACTCTGACGAACACACGAAGGAAAGTGCAAGAAAAGGTTACATGTGTTGGTGGTACACACACACAGGTGCGGAAAATGTGTATGGAAAGATGAGAGAGGGGGGATAGACAGTTAAAATAAAACGACTGATTAAAGGGAGAAAAAGAGGGAGAGGAGGAAGAAATGGTGAGGGGAAGGAGGAGCTACGAGAAAATGGATCTGAAGAAAAACTAGAAGAGGTTGAGAGATGGAGTTATTGTGCCTAGACTGCATTATTATAATGAAAACTAAGCGCTAAACCCACAAAGGTCATACAGCGGATATACTGCCGACCAAAATAAGAGTTGAGCGCACAACCTACGAGGCTTAGCTCGTGAGATCTAAGCGGTTTGTGACCTTTGGGAGGGGCGCCACAATCCTAATCTATTTCGGCATAAATGGTGGGGATATTTGTCTTTCTGTTTAAATTTTCTGACACTTAAGGCCAGCGAATTGTAAAAGAAAATTACTTAGAATAGTTGTACGTACTTTGTGATTATGCTTTCTTTAATAATAAATTGTTTACGACAGTAGGAAGTAAATTAATCTCTTAGATTACGTAAAAGTTTATCAAGGTTACGTTCGGTGCAAAATTATTAAATCTTCAAAATAAAACTGGCATAAATTTAAGTTAACTGTTTACCTGGGAGATGAAATCTTCAGCTGAACTTATGCCCAAAATAAGTTATCTGTAAATATGTACTATGGACAGTAGTTAATTTTATTATTTAAACTGTTAACCAAGTATTATTGAGTAGGTAGCTTATTATTTCGTATTGCATATAGAAATTAAGGACAAAGATTCTCTTACTACAGGAATGCAAAATTTTATTACAAAGTTAAATCATTATGATTTAAAATTATTGGAAAACATTATAAATACTCTTAGTGCTGAACTCGTTTCAATAATTGATTTTTTTTTTTTGTATATACAGTATATTCAGAATTAATGTGGGTGATTCTTAACAACATATAACTTATATTTGTATCGCAGAAGACCAAGAACACAATAATACATTCATAGTAATGTTGATAAATTAGACACATGTGCAACTCTTGGGTATCTTTATTGAGGAAACGTTTCGCCACACAGTGGCTTCAACAGTCCATACGTAGGAGAAACTTGAAGAACAGGAGAAGAATGAGGTAATCAGTCCCTCAACCTTGAGTCGATGTGTCTAATTTATCAACATGTCGGTTCTCTGAACCATTCATCTACAAATTCATAGTAATGTTTAATTCTGTAATTATAATGCAGTTATAGTTGAATAGTAGACATTATTTGTCTTCACTTGTTCACTGGATGTGCTAGAGGATATTTGGTTACACTTGGTAGATACATCTTGGCTGGCTACACAGGTGTAACATTGGATGGACTCATGTTCGTCGGTAGCGAAGATTACTTGTTTCTTGCAGAGCCACTAGTATGGTCGACATGGTGTACTGGATGTTGCTGGACGGTAGCCTGCTTTCACGTACACTAGGGGCATGAAAAGTGCAGTGTGCTTAACGAGGTGGTGGTGGGCGCTTCCTCCATTCACAGTGTTAAGAGTAGATATAATATAGCTCGACTGGCTGGGTTTAGTACATGTGGGATCAATATAGTTGAAAGACAGAGGGCAGAGCAGGCCTTTAATAAGACGACGTTTCGCTCAAGGGGAGCTTTATCAACTCATGACTTTATTTACATGGCTTTCTACTGCTCTAAGTATCTTTGTATTATCAAGATGTGGGTAAAGTCTACTCAACAGGTGGAGTATTTCGTTGAGTCCCTCACAATCACTCCTGGAGTAGTATGGCTCTACCATCATCCCTCCACTGACTGCTACACGCATGCACAAGCAGGCGAAAACACTCCTCACAACTACTTAACCTAAAACTACCCTTACTACACGTGTACAAAGTATTTAATATCATTCTTAAAGTATTTTCTACATTCGTTCTTCTACTTTCTGTCTTCTACTTACATACCTACTTCTATAAGTGCTTGTTTAAATGTACCATATAATTTGCGACAGTAGCTTATACACCAAGATATATAAGCATGTAGAAACCAGTACACAAATGCAACACACCAGGCCACTAATAGTGAGAAATGAGTAGTAATTGGCATTAGACAGAAAAATGCTGGACTGGGAGTACACATTGTGTAGCAGTGACTACCTAATAAGAGACACGTACACTCGTATGCACTTACTGATTTACCAGTTTCACTGTTTCAATGCTGTAGTATTTTAAATCTTCAGTGTTACTTTTTTCATCAGTGCAGTATTGTCCAAAGTGCTACGGTAGAAATGTTGCTGACCATGGTTGAGAGAGTTGAGCCCTGATGGAATACCACCATCGTGGTATTTCATCAGGGCTCAGTTCTCACACTAAAAAGTTACAAACTTTAGTTCGCTACGCACTGTCCAGTTAAGTACATAAACTATTTTATAAATGGTCCTGGAGCCAGTTGTTAGATTCCCACCTGTTGTTGTCTTCTTAATAATATTCGAATATTCACATATTCTTCTATGACTAATTTTGTTAATATCACGCTTCGACATTTTCTTACAAACAAAAACGTTTAGTCCATAAATATCAATTCACGGATTACCGAGACTTAGAATGAATTTTAATTCACCACTAATGTAAATTCTACAAATATCTCAGGCATATTTAATGCTTATGTAAGTTTTGCGAGTAACTTACTAGTACCGTAACAGCTTACATATCCTACAGGTAACTCCGCGGCACGTTAATAGTCTTATTTATGTGTGCGACGTAGTTGACTGGGTGTGAATATGATGACTTAGTGCTAGAGGGAGACCATGAAGAAGGGTCCCAGGTGGCGGTGTTGGGCGAGGTAGAACGGGAGACCAGAGAGGGCTGGAGAGGAGGCAGAAATGTTCAGACTCGGGTAAGGCAGATCTTTTCTCCAGCCCGCCACCCTCAGCATCCCGTCTTCACCGATGCTCACGCTGTCCTTTTGGAATGGCGGGAAGGCAGTAACAGCTTTATGCAGTACGTCTGGTAGATTGTCGGATAATAGCGAGGGAAGTGTTGTGTGGTCATTTTGTTGGTCTTTGAACGTGGTTAGCGCCTGCTTTCCAGTCAGCCCCAACAGTGGCAAACGATAGAAGGCTCCACCTGCGACATTAGACGGCGAGGTATGACTAAGTACGTGTGTTTTAATGAGCTGCGTTGGTGAGGCAGTTACACTGGACCTAGTGGTAACTAATGAAATATGATATGGGCTTTCAACCTTGTCTTTCACTGTTGATTCTGTTTTCTTGCTCGTAGTCTGTTGAAGTAACTGCTGTTGCTGATAGACATTTGCGTGGTAGCCTCCTGGATGATGTATTATTGTGTCTGTCTTATTGTGTAGGTGTTCCGCGTCTGCAGTGTAAGTATGTGATATATTAAGGTGTTGTGCATATGTTGCATCAGGAAGCCTTTCTGTTTTATGTGGCTCGATTAGCTTTACTTTTAAATTGACAGTTGAATTTTGATCATTGTTCATTTGTGGTCGTTGACCTAGACGTTTTCTTGACATATTTGGCCGCGATATATCTTGCTGGGAAGTACCTGCTTCTTTATTCACTTCACGCTTGTGTTGATTTGATTTACGTTTTTCTCGAGCTTCTGTCGGCAAGAAATACACAGGTTGGCGAGGTTTGCTAGGATGTCTTGTGCCTCCTGTGCTTGCATGCAGTTTGAGTAATTGTTCCGGTGAGGCCAGTAAAGTTGTGTGGCCACCTGCCCCTATTATAGTGCCAATCTCTATGCCCACTGGCCTCCTGCGGCTAGTAACACCCTTCTGCGAGACACTAGGATCAGAGGGCGACAGTTGAGCCCTTTCATCGACAGTTATTTTACCTTCACTCTCTTGACTGTGTACTAAGGAAGTCTTAGAAGTTGGACGCTGCGTAGTCTGAACTCTTATGTTTTTAATTGTGGTGGTCGTTGTGCTTATAACTGGCGGAGATGTGGACGGTGAGGTTGGACTATGTCTTGTAGGCCCTTCCAGGGATGGGTTTCCAGATTTATGTAATGGGATTGAATGTATGTGATTTAGAGGCCCAGGAGAAGGAAGTTCTAGAGATGTAAGCAGTGCATCTTGCATGAAATCGTCTTCGGTAGAGAAAGACTGGGTTTTATTTGTATGTAAGGTGAGTGGGGAAGCGAGTGGCCTCGAGGTTGGAAGAGACTTCACCTCACCACTGTGTTGTTGGTGTTCCTGAAGGTGATGATTAATCTTCATGGACGGCGGATATAGATGCTGACCTGCAGATGTGTGTCCTGCACGCGGGGGGATGAAAGACGGTGGCGGAGTGATGGGTTCACGAAATCTCGTTCGTACTCTCGTGGTAGGATTGGGTGATGTATGTGGCTGTTCAGGTCTGCTGTGTAACTTTATGGGAAGAGTTGATGTGTGTTTACCTGTGGTGATAAAGGACTCTGGGTGTTTAACCCCTAGGGTCTCGGGGTATGAGTGTTCTCCATCTGTCTCAGGGTACTCATCATAGTAATCGTAATCGTAATAGTCATCGTAATCGTAATCATTGTCATTAATTGGGTTGTTTCTACTAGAGTTTATCTTGATGTTTTGATTAAGGCGCTCAAACACTTGAGCAAATTTGTCAAATTGTCTCTGGTCATAAAATGAAAGCTGACCTGGTCTGTTTATATCATCACGTCTTGGAATATGCTGAGTCCCAGTGGGATCATTTGTCGATGGCGTTACTTCAGGAGAAAATGTTGAAACAGGTTGGTCATGCAGGTCAGCTTGGCTCACTAGTGATGTGTGTGGACTATGTGCTGAAGTGTATGGTGTAACTAGTTGAGATGGTAAGAGTTTATTCTCGGGGAGTGGTGATTGTGTGTAGAGTTGAGGTCTTGGTGTAAAATGTGCATGTTTATGAAGTTGTTGCGGTAAAGGACGCTGTATGGAATATTGTGGTAGATAGTATAACCGAGGTGGAGGCCCAAGTACATCTGCTTCTTCTTTTAGAGGGATAGGCAGTCGAGGGCCAATAACTGGGCTTTGAAAGGCACTGAATGGATAATGAAGGGTGTAAAACGGATACAGAGCTCTGTGATGAGTTGGAATGGGTAAGCGTGAGACTGGGAATATGTGGTAAGCACTGCTTGGTGGGGCAAGTGGAAGAATTCCCCTATGATGCACGGGCGGGGGTTTCCCAGAGGGGCTTGGAGGCAAAGTGTGTAGTACAGCTCTACCTTGGTCTCTCGTGGGGATTGCTGTTGTCTCAAAGTATTTCGTTAAAGGTAAGTTTCTCTCTGTAAAGTCAAGCTGAGGTTGAAGGAAACCCGATTGGTGTGCCCGTTGATGGTCATAGTGTGGTGATGGAAGCGTCGGGGTTGAAAGTTGAGATGTGTTGCCAGAAATTGTTTGATAATAAGTTAACCGTGGTTGGAGAACTTGGCCAGGTGGTTTAGCTTGTGTTACATTTACGTTGTTAGTTACTCCTACAGGTTGGTGGGGAGTGGTTGTCACGACACTTAACTCCGTTGTCACTTTGTCACTCATCAGTGGTGCTCTCAAGTTTTCTCTTCGTGCTGCTTCCTCAACTTCCTTCACGGTTTGTGTGTGCTCCTTCTGTAATAACTTAGGTTCTTGAGGATGCTTATGATTGTTAATTGGTGATTCCAGATGCACAGATTCATGGTCCGGAGTCTCCGATGATTGGTGGCCTTCATCTGTGAATTCTGCGATAGGCAAATTACTGCTAAGTATACCGTTGTGAGTTACAGGTACTGACAGGTGAGTATCGACGGGGACAGGTACAGGACGGGTGTGAGGTGTCTGTGGTGTGGAAGATAAGTTTTTATTGGAGGTCTGTTGTTGCTTCTGCTTGTTACCTGACACAAGTGACGGGGAAGCGCTACCAAACTGTGAGACTTCACCATCAGTGTTATCGTCCTGGTTAATTGCAGCCGCGTCTTGTATCTGGCGAGGGCTGCTGGTAAGTAGAGTGAGCGCGTCGAGCACCAAACTGGGAAGAACTGTAGTGGCACCCGCTGGGGCTCGCCGGTACCCATGGTCTTGGACATATACCCCAGATTCTATTTCATTCAGGTGGGCATGGGTGTGTGGAGAGGCGGGTGGTGGGGTGGGTGGTGTGGGCGGCGTGGTGGAGGGCGTGGGAGGACTGTAAGGCTGTGCAGGGATGAGCCCTCGTTCTCCTGGGTTAGTTATTGACACTTGGGCGGCTGGTATGCGGTTCAGGTGTTGGCTCACTCCCAGCCCACTCACAACACCTGCAAATATGACCGCAGTTATTCATTTGGTTTATACAGATTGACAACAGCAAGGTCAATATTGCCGGCTCAATAATTCAAATCAAAAGACAGGAAGATGGTTGTTACTTTTCTATAATGGCACTGTAAATTAATTTTAAAATCATGATTTCATTCCATAATTGCAAGCAAAATACCAAAACTGAAAGCAAGAGTTAGCACTTAATTCTGGCTCTGGGGTTAGTTAGATTGTCTAAACAATTACAGGACCGTATGATTACACGAACATATATTTACACGAACGTAGGATTGTTTAAACAATTACAGGATCGTAGGATTGCTTAAGCAATTACAGGATCGTAGGATTGTTTAAATACAGCATTGTAAGATTGTTAAACAGTTACAGGATAGAAGGATTGACTAACAATTACAGTATAGTAGAATAACTTCAACAATGGAAGGCCAGTTACAAATAGTCTCAACTACACAAATTTAGTCTCCAAGTTTACGGTAACTGAAATTGTCAGAAATACTGTTTGTACATTAAGATTCTCAGTATGACGCGGATGCTGTAATAAGCAGTAATAATAATAATAATAATAATAATAATAATAATAATTAACAATCTGCAAGGCAACAATAAATTGAAGGGCAATAATATACATAGCATTTTGAGCAACATTTCTTTGGAACTTGTGGTGTGGTGATTATAATCCGAAAAGAGGCGCTGCACCCACTAGGGTCATACAGCGCTGTTGTGGGTGTGGGCGGAGTTAATTACCTCTTGGATGGGAGGAGCGTCAGTGAACGTCGCACGGTGAATGTGTGACTGGGAAAAGAAAGGAGATTGTGGTTGTGTGGGAGTGATGCAGATTTCCCAGGGAAGGTGAGTTTGGTGGTGTGTTTTGCAGGAAAGTTAAGTGCTTGCTAAGAGGCCACTTAGTGAGAGAACTGGTAGTTACTTGGTAAGTGACAGAGCTGGTGGTTACTTGGTAAGTGACAGAGCTGGTGGTTACTTGGTAAGTGACAGAACTGGTGGTTACTTGGTAAGTGACAGAACTGGTGGTTACTTGGTAAGTGACAGAGCTGGTGGTTACTTGGTAAGTGAGAGAACTGGTGGTTACTTGGTAAGTGACAGAGCTGGTGGTTACTTGGTAAGTGACAGAACTGGTGGTTACTTGGTAAGTGACAGAGCTGGTGGTTACTTGGTAAGTGACAGAACTGGTGGTTACTTGGTAAGTGACAGAGCTGGTGGTTACTTGGTAAGTGACAGAGCTGGTGGTTACTTGGTAAGTGACAGAGCTGGTGGTTACTTGGTAAGTGACAGAACTGGTAGTTACTTGGTAAGTGACAGAACTGGTAGTTACTTGGTAAGTGAGAGAACTGGTGGTTACTTGGTAAGTGACAGAACTGGTGGTTACTTGGTAAGTGACAGAGCTGGTGGTTACTTGGTAAGTGACAGAACTGGTGGTTACTTGGTAAGTGACAGAGCTGGTGGTTACTTGGTAAGTGACAGAGCTGGTGGTTACTTGGTAAGTGACAGAACTGGTGGTTACTTGGTAAGTGACAGAACTGGTAGTTACTTGGTAAGTGACAGAACTGGTAGTTACTTGGTAAGTGACAGAACTGGTGGTTACTTGGTAAGTGACAGAACTGGTGGTTACTTGGTAAGTGACAGAACTGGTGGTTACTTGGTAAGTGACAGAACTGGTAGTTACTTGGTAAGTGACAGAACTGGTAGTTACTTGGTAAGTGACAGAACTGGTGGTTACTTAAGGAAGTTTCACACCTCTTCCTACTGTTTGACTTTTCCTTCTGTTCCTTCTTTTATCTTCCTGTTGTTGTCCTTGGCCTTTCATTGTATTTATCTAAAAACCGTTATTGGCAGTTGTCTGTCAGTACTTCGCCCATCATTTATCAGTTTTTTTTTATTGTAGCTTACACACTTTTATTTATTCTTGTACTCAAACATTTAATCTTTTGTATCATTTGTAAGTGTCAAAACCTTTTGTGTATTAGATTTTATGCTTGCGCTGTGTAGCCGCTTGTGTGCGTGTGTCTGGTCTGCCGCGTTTGTGTGGGGAAGCTAACGCGACAATTTGTTATATTAAGCACATTTCCTAAAAAATTTTTATAACAGATAAGTGAACTGTAGTTATAAATCCAAATGTACTCCTGTTAACCCTTTTGAGGTCTAGTTCCTAGGCCTTTTGTGTATGCATATGCTCTTGCACTACCCTCCACATGATGGATATGGTGTACACAGTGAACCAGCCACTTTGGTAGCAAAATCCCAGATGGTCTGTGAATATGACATAACAAGTACCTGCACATTCTCAATACTGCCATGAGTCTTTCTCTAAATAACCAATATGTAAACCATAATTTTTAAAGGGGGAGACCGGTAAGCCAGTGGAAGGCCTCGGTCAGACGACCAACAGCTCCAACTGCGGGTCATATAACTAAGACCCGCGCCAGGAAATACTTGTACTGCACTGTTTCCTGATATACCTAACCTAACCTTTCTCTAAGTACAGTAAACTAGTGTTTACTGTTCTTGAATCATCGAGGAAAATATTGCAGGAGGGAAAACTTTATATGTTTACTATTGAAAATACTTTCTGGGATACCTAGTAATATTATTTTTTGTTAGCATCGGGACCACATCTGAACTGCAGCGTTACGTCACTGAAGATAAATTATACTAAATATCGCTGCTGTGAGTATTATTGCTCTTGCAAAATAAATGACAGGCAGCGCATTATTATTATAATCAAGGGGGAAGCGCTAAACCCGTAAGATTATACAGCAACAGGCAGCGCAGAATTCAAATGGACGTTTAAAGTACTGAACAAGATGCTCTGCCACTTTTTTTAAGAAGTTAAAGAACTAGAAGCCACATCTCTAACCTTGTCAAGTCATCTTGTACAATAGACGACAAGGTCTTCCTGAGAGAAACCTGACTTGTCAAATAGTTTACCTCGTGAAGATAATAAAATCAAATCAAAGCTTGGAGATAAGTATAAAATACCGACACGATAGAAAAATTGAACACAAATGCAGTATAAATGCAATCCTTTACTGACAATGTTTCGCCCACACAGTGAATTTATCAAGTCACAAACAGATATACCTGGGTACAGAGTACATGAGTGTATATATAGTGTGGAGAGTCAGGTGGAGAATGTTGGGTAGGTTGTATTAGAGAGGAAGCTGCAAGCGAGATCAAAGATGCAGAATAATCATACCAAGAGAGTCATTCCCTTGATCGAATCTTCCTGGATTTCCTAGTCTATTTCTGCCACATTGCAAACTCTTGATGTTTTGATTTCAATGCGAAAGACCTAGAGCTATTATTCAACTCCTCCTGTGGTTATTTTCCACACATTATTTACATATATATATATATATATATATATATATATATATATAATATATATATATATATATATATATATATATATATATGTCGTGCCGAATAGGCAGAATTTGCGATCTTGGCTTAAATAGCAACGCTCATCTTGCTATATAGGACAAGCGAAAATTTGTGTATGCAATCATTTCGCAAAAATCATTCTAAACCTAACGAAAAAAATATATTTCATTGTGTTTGTTTAGTAATAAATTATTGTAAACGTATTTAAAATATATTTAGTTGGGTTAGGCTAAAATAAATTGCTCTTGTTATAATAAGGTTAGGTAAGTTTTCTAAGATTCTTTTGGTGCAAAATTAAAATTTTTTACATTAACATTAATGAAAAAAACAGATCTTTAAACGTTTAAGAGAAAATTTCAGAAAGGACTTAATTTTAAATGAGTTCTTGCTAATTGACCAGTTTTACATAATCGGCACGACATATATATATATATATATATATATATATATATATATATATATATATATATAATATATATATATATATATATATATATATATATATATGTCGTGCCGAATATGTAAAACTGGTCAATTAGCAAGAACTCATTTAAAATTAAGTCCTTTCTAAAATTTTCTCTTATACGTTTAAAGATATATTTTTTTCATTAATGTTGATGTAAAAGTTTATAATTTTGCACCAAAAGGAACTTAGAAAACTTACCTAACCTTATCATGACAAGCACAATTTATTTTAGCCTAACCCAACTAAATATATTTTAAAGAAGTTTACAATAATTTAGTACTAAACAAACTCAATGAAATATATTTTTTTCGTTAGGTTCCGAATGATTTTGGTGAAATTATTGCATACACAAATTTTCACTTGTCCTATATAGCAAGATGAGCGTTGCTATTTAAGCCAAGATCGCAAGTTCTGCCTATTCGGCACGACATATATATATATATATATATATATATATATATATATATATAATATATATATATATATATATATATATAATATATATATATATATATATATATTATATATATATATATATATATATATATATATATATATATATAATGAAATAGCATTACATATTACCTGGAAAAGATATTAACTAATCATGTAAATGTATCAAATATAATTATCACCAGATAAAACCATACACACAATATACATAAAGAATAAAAATCACAATAACTATGGTGCAGTAAGATGCACCACTTTATGTAAGAAAAGATTTTTCTGGGATATTTAACTCCCAGAGGGTTTACCACCAGGATGACCCAAGAACAGATCCTCAGTCTTGTCACACCAGGGTGCACCACACCATCGACTAACCTAGTATCTACTTGATAGGTGAATACAGGGTAACAGAGTGTAAGGAACGTCGTCGAAACGTCCACCCTGCCGGGAATCGAACTTGGGCCCTTAGCGTGTGAAGCCAAAGCTTTGCCAGCCAGGCCACGGCTGGCAAAGCTGTAGCATTACTGCCTGACAGTACTGTAGCAAGAACAGTTGACAACAAACCCACAGGTTGGAAGTTACAAGCTGAAAGACGTTTCAATTCGTCCTGGATGGGAAATTTGTTTTCATTTCCAGCTAATGTGCTAGGCCTAGTACAGAATATTTTTTGATAATTCATGAATCTTTAGGATTGTTTATTGAATACTGAGGAGTTTACCTTCATCTCGTACTATCAGTGGATATGAAGTTTGAGTTACTCACACAGGAACCAAAGGGTAATCATATTAAGAGTAGGGAGACATTCGTGGGTGTGGTGAGGCTTTCTTTTGTTTCAGGTGTTGGCGAGGGTCACTCTTGTCTCAGGTGTGGTGATGCTGACTCTTGTCTCAGGTGTGGTGATGCTGACTCTTGTCTCAGGTGTGGTGATGCTGACTTGTCTCAGGTGTGGTGATGCTCACTCTTGTCTCAGGTGTGGCGAGGGTCACTCTTGTCTCAGGTGTGGTGATGCTGACTCTTGTCTCAGGTGTGGTGATGCTGACTTGTCTCAGGTGTGGTGATGCTGACTCTTGTCTCAGGTGTGGCGAGGGTCACTCTTGTCTCAGGTGTGGTGATGCTCACTCTTGTCTCAGGTGTGGCGAGGGTCACTCTTGTCTCAGGTGTGGCGAGGGTCACTCTTGTCTCAGGTGTGGTGATGCTGACTTGTCTCAGTAGTGGTGATGCTGACTCTCAGGTGTGGTGATCTTCACCCTCCACACACACACTCCCGCACATCATTGTATACGTTATAGAACCAGGGTCAAAACCTCACCTTGCTTGATTCATAAATCTTGTGTAATATTCCTCTTAGGTAGCTTTTAGTCTAGTATTTATTATTTGTATCTCTTCTATGATATGAAAACTTAGTCACTAAATATATACACACAACTTGAGTTTTCTCTACTTGTTATTACGTAAAACACTATGATACCGATGTGAATGATTGTGGGTTTGTTAATGCACAGTAGATCGGAAGAGACTTAATAACAGTCACCGCTGGGTGATATAATTTCTGGGGGTGTGTCCACCTCCAATCTTCACTACACCAGTAGTTTATCTGTAGCGTACCTGCGCGCACGCTCTCTCACACACACACACACCTACCAAGCACACGTTATTGTTTTTAAACTCGGCTGTCTGGTTGAGAATTTCCACCTCGCTTTGTCGCCTGTTTTTGTCCCACAATCTGGAATAGAAATTGATAATGGTGCGTAAGACAGAGGGAGGGAGGGATTTAGACGTAATTAAAAACAAACGATTGTTGCTAACAAACCATACCACGGGTGGGGTTTGAACCCGCGGTCAGAGAGTCTCAAAACTCCAGACCGTCGTTACAGAAGTATATGTCCGCACCTAAAACACTTCACATCAACATTACATTAATATACAATACCAGTGAGATGATGAATATGACATGTGCCACACCTTAGTGTCTTACATGTCTTATTTAGTTAAGTTGCAACTAAATTACAAGCTGCCGTGTCCGCTAAGTGATCAGCTTCATGCTTACGGACATTTACAGTCGGGAATTTCACGTGACTACCAGTTGCCAAGAATAATGTGAAAGTTGGTGTGTGTGTGTGTGTGTGTGTGTGTGTGTACTCGCCTGATTGTGGTTGCAGGAGTCGAGACTCAGCCTCTTCACTGATCGCTACTAGGTCCTCTCTCTCTGCTCCCTGAGCTTTGTCATACCTCGTCTTAAAGCTATGTATGGTTCCTGCCTCCACTACATCACTTGTTAGACTATTCCACTTTCTGACAACTCTATGATTGAAGAAATACTTCCTAACATCCCTGTGACTCGTCTGAGTCTTCAGCTTCCAATTGTGACCCCTTGTTTCTGTGTCCCCTCTCTGGAACATCCTGTCTCTGTCCACCTTATCTATTCCACACACTATCTTGTATGCCGCTATCATGTCTCCCCTGATCCTCCTGTCTTCCAGTGTCATTAGGCCGGTTTCCCTCAACCTTTCTTCGTAGGACATTCCTCTGGGCTCCGGAACTAACCTTGTTGCAAACCTTTGCACTGTCTCTAATTTCTTGGTGTGCTTGACCAGGTGTGGGTTCCAAACTGGTGCTGCATACTCCAGTATGGGTCTGACATACACAGTGTACAGTGCCTTGGACGATTCCTTACTAAGGTATCGGAACGCTATTCCCAGGTGTGTGTGTGTGTGTGTGTGTGTGTGTGTGTGTGTGTGTGTGAGGTGATCCTGGACCACAGATAGTTAAGCAAGCCTGCGTGTCTTAATTGTTGTGAAGAAATCATGACGTTAAAGTAGCAACCAGACGATGTCACACACTCAGATGCATCACCGGTGAGAAATAAAATTGTGCTTGGGTAAATTGGTAAGAAAAATAGGGACTGCGAGTACGTGATTAGACAATGCAAAAATGTGAGGTAGGTGTTAGTGATGGCCAGGTAACTTTGCAGGTGGTGGTGGCCAGGTAACTTGGTAGTGGTGATGGTGGCCAGGTATGCAGGCAAGCGGTGGCCAGGTAACTAAGCAGGTGGTTATGTCCAGGTAATTTGGGAGATGGTGGTGGCTAGGTAACTAGGTAGGTTGTGGTGGCTATGTAACTAGGCAGGTAGCGGTGGCCAGGTAACAAGGCAGGTTGTGGTGGCTATGTAACTAGGCAGGTGGCGGTGTCCAGGTAACTTGGCAGGTGGTGGTGGCCAGGTAACTTGGTGATGGTGGCCAGTTAAGTAGGCAGTTGGTGTCCAAGTTACTAGGTAGGTGGTGGTGGCAATGTAACTAGGCAGGTAGTGGTGGCCAGGTAACAAGGTAGGCAGCGGTGGTAATGGTCTAGTAACTAGGCAGGTGGTGGTAAGGTAACCAGGCAGGTGGTGATAAGGTAACCAGGCAGGTGGTGGTGGTAGCAACCATCTAGCGATAGTATAATGATAACTTTCTCTTCGTCCACAGTATTACAAGTGGCCGCGAGCGTTGCTTCCCCTTAATTACCACTGTTGGTACTGGCGCAGTCCTGCTGCTCTCCTCTTTATATAGTAAAATTCAATACACTGGCTAATTACGTTGTGGGGAAACTCGCAGTGTGTTTCTCCACAATTCTGTATGATAATTACATTGCGGAATCATCCATAATAGCAGCTACCATATTCTATATGATTGGTGTATTGCAGAAAGAGTAACAGTGTGCAGATAAGCTATTCTGTATAATTGTTGCGTTATAGAAGCTGCAACAATGTGCAGACAAACTATATAATTGTTACATTATAGAAACAGCAACAATGTGCAGGTACATTATTCTGTGTGATAACGACGTTTAGGGAATACCCGCAGTGTTCCCCGTCATAGATACAGATGAATACAAACAGGAAGCGCGTCTGTCTGGCACTCAGCCGACGAAGGAGCAAGCCTCCTCCACGTCTTGAGATGAATAACCCACATGCTTTCAGCACTTAACATGAATTAAAGAGAAACATCTGAAAAATGGTATGTTGATACCGACAAAATGTAGAAAAAGACACTTGTGTACAGTTATTACAGGAAAATGTACATAGTGTCGTTTTTCCACAAACGAAAACAAATTCTATTGTATATAAGTACAGTGGTAAAACAGCGCGGTGTCCAGTATATTGTTCCATACGATGCAGGACAAGCCACGGGGAAGGGGCGGACACCTACGCTACTCTGAGACCTCTCTCCCTGCTTTGGTTGCTCCCTTGCAACATTGCACAGCTCCTGATGACGCACTGAAAAGTGTGAAAGTGCTCGAGCTAAAAATTTCCACTCCCCGTGGCTTGTCCTGCACAGTTAAGAGCGCCCGTCTGTGATTGTTTGCATTCCATACGATATAATGACATTTTGGAAAAGAGTTCAGTAACACGAGATGGATCTACACACGAGGTAATGAAATCTTTCAGGCTGATCTAGGAGACTTAACTGAGTCTAGTCTATCAGTAATCACGGCAGCTGCAGAGGTTTATTTCCAGCAAGACGGGAGTCACACGTGGTAATTAGCATCTTGAGGTAGTCAGTACCTCACACCGATAAAAAGAAATTTATGGGAATGTAGGTAATAGTAAGAGTGATGTAGGCATGCTCTAGTAGGTTTAGGTAGTGAATGGTGATAGGTTCTCGTAGCTTTAAGTATCGCCCAGGGTTCTGGGGAAAGCGATAGTAACAAAAAGAGAACCGGAAGGTCTGTTTTAATGGATGTATTGTACTGTCAAGATGGAACCCGGCTTGTCAAGTGTGCCCACACCAAGGTCTGGATTCTAACTGAGGCAGGCCTCTGGCCTAGTTGTGTGCACTTCAAAGGGAGTTACGTGACTAGGACATGTATATACTATACAAGTATTGCACTATTGACGTAAGTAAAGAATGGTGATAGATTCTCGTAGCTTTAGGTAGGGAATGGTGATATTTTCTAGTGGCAGAGATGATATATTGTGATGTGAGTGGTAAATTCGTCATGAACTGTTAGCCTGAACACGAGCACTTCACCCTTCATGAAAATATAAGCACATCGAGTTAGGCATAAGAATAGTTAGATTTTACGTTGCAAATTAAAACTCTTAGCCATTCTAGTCTCACTAAAGTTATGATCATCAGCTGAACCCCTTGATCATTACTGATTGTATGTCCTCACTAAACGCGCCGGACTCTTGCAGTGACGTAACAGCTTGAGGTCTAGAGAAGCTAGGTACTGACATACAACAGACAAGTTAACGTACACTTCTCGTTAATTCCGTTTTACATTGGCTTACACTATGGGAGTGTGACAACCCTAGCCAGACACTCATCACTTAAGCACGTGGTGACATTCTGCCGCCTCATTTCTCAAGCATTGCGCAAGTTGTGGATTTCGTGAGAGCGGCGAACCTTGTGACTGGCCCTTCTCCTGCCATTACTAAAGCTCTTCATGGTGGAGTGGTCCCGCCAGTCCTCTGTACACAGCTTTTAACGGCTTTCGTAACTTACCGCTGTATGACCCTTGTGGGTTTAGCACTTAGTTTTTATTATAATAAATTTCGTAATTTACAAGTCCACAGTAGTAGTGGTGATGGTGTTACTAAGGTCATTACTAGGATTAAATTAACTCGGATTAATTAATATTTAGTGGTAAACTCGGTTGGATGATTCAGCGCTAGTGGCTTAGTCTGTATCCCTCGTCCGCTGATCAACACATACTAGTTAGCTACTTTCCAGGACAGTAAATTCAACGACTTAATAGATGTCCCTCGAATGAGGATACTTATGCGGTTACCATATTTATTTTCTCATTTTCTTCTGAGTTCTTGAGAATGCCTCGTGTAAACGTGGTAATATGTTGTGGAGCAAGTTGTAGAGCATCTATGCTTCTTTTAGCGGAGTTAGATGTTCATCGTTGGTGTATCTTTCTACAACAAAGTTGCCATTGCTGGTGGAATGTGTACCTCCCAATTTGCCAATTTTATTATAATATATATATATGTCGTGCCGAATAGGCAGAACTTGCGGTCTTGGCTTAAAAAGCAACGTTCATCTTGCCATATAGGACAAGTGAAAATTTGTATATGCAATAATTTCGCCAAAATCGTTCTGAACCTAACGAAAAAAATATATTTCACTGTGTTTGTTTAGTATTAAATTATTGTAAACAAATCTAAAATATGTTTAGTTTGGTTAGGCTAAAATAAATTGTTCTTGTTATAATAAGGTTAGGTAAGTTTTCTAAGATTCTTTTGATGCAAAATTATAATTTTTTAAATTATCATTAATGAAAAAACATATCTTTAAACGTAAAAGAGAAAATTTCATAAAGGACTTAATTTTAAATGAGTTCTTGCTAATTGGCCAGTTTTACATATTCGGCACTATATATATATATATATATATATATATATATATATATATATATATATATATATATATATATATATATATATATATATATATATAAACACTGATCTCTGGCTGAAGGAGACTCGAACCTACGAACCTTGGAACAAGATATGCAGTGCTTTACCAATCTACCCACACTGGACCAATACCTTGGAGTCCAGCTTGCGCTAGACTTTGATCCAAGGCAGCCAGCTTTCAGGGAGAAGGCTTACAGCTTTTCATTTCATCCCCTGCATGCATCAACCTTACTAGAGAATTTAAAGCACTGCGTACCTTGTTCCAAGGTTCGTAGGTTCGAGTCTTCTTCAGCCAGAGATCAGTGTTTGTGTATATTACGCCTGCTCTTGCGAATTCCTTGCATTGTTCAAATCTCTAGTAAGGCTGATGCATGCAGGGGATGAGATGAAAAGCTGTAAGCCTTCTCCCTGAAAGCTGGCTGCCTTGGATCAAAGTCTAGCGCAAGCTGGACTCCAAGGTATTGGTCCAGTGTGGGTAGATTGGTAAAGCACTGCGTACGTTGTTCCAAGGTTCGTAGGTTCGAGTCTTCTTCAGCCAGAGATCAGTGTTTGCGTATATTTCGCCTGCTCTTGCGAATTCCTTGTGTATATATATATATATATTATATATATATATATATATATATATATATATATATATATATATATATATATATATATATATATATAATGCATGCATGGCTTAAAGCAACAGTGACAGCCGAATAATGAGTGAAAATTTTAATGATTATTGCAGTAGTAATGTTAAAGAATAGTTAATACATTTAGACTGACCTAAGATAAATTTAGTAGGAGATTAGATTTAAATTATTTCAGTTTTAGCAAGGTTAGGAGAGGTTAATTTTGGTACCAAAAGTTAGTATAGAAGTTGAGGTAGAATGTGCAACAGGACAGTATAGAAGTTGAGGTAGACTGTGCAACAAGACAGTATAGAAGTTGAGGTAGAATGTGCAACAGGACAGTGCAGAAGTTGAGGTAGACTGTGCAACAGGACAGTATAGAAGTTGAGGTAGAATGTGCAACAGGACAGTATAGAAGTTGAGGTAGAATGTGCAACAGGACAGTATAGAAGTTGAGGTAGAATGTGCAACAGGACAGTATAGAAGTTGAGGTAGAATGTGCAACAGGACAGTATAGAAGTTGAGGTAGAATGTGCAACAGGACAGTATAGAAGTTGAGGTAGAATGTGCAACAGGACAGTATAGAAGCTGAGGTAGAATGTGCCACAGGACAGTATAGAAGTTGAGGTAGAATGTGCCACAGGACAGTATAGAAGTTGAGGTAGACTGTGCAACAGGACAGTATAGAAGTTGAGGTAGAATGTGCAACAGGACAGTATAGAAGTTGAGGTAGAATGTGCAACAGGACAGTATAGAAGTTGAGGTAGACTGTGCAACAGGACAGTATAGAAGCTGAGGTAGACTGTGCCACAAGACAATATAGAAGTTGAGGTAGAATGTGCAACAGGACAGTGCAGAAGTTGAGGTAGACTGTGCAACAGGACAGTATAGAAGTTGAGGTAGAATGTGCAACAGGACAGTATAGAAGTTGAGGTAGAATGTGCAACAGGACAGTATAGAAGTTGAGGTAGAATGTGCAACAGGACAGTATAGAAGTTGAGGTAGAATGTGCAACAGGACAGTATAGAAGTTGAGGTAGAATGTGCAACAAGACAGTATAGAAGTTGAGGTAGAATGTGCAACAGGACAGTATAGAAGTTGAGGTAGAATGTGCAACAGGACAGTATAGAAGTTGAGGTACAATGTGCCACAGGACAGTATAGAAGTTGAGGTAGAATGTGCAACAGGACAGTATAGAAGTTGAGGTAGAATGTGCAACAGGACAGTATAGAAGTTGAGGTAGAATGTGCAACAGGACAGTATAGAAGCTGAGGTAGAATGTGCCACAGGACAGTATAGAAGTTGAGGTAGACTGTGCAACAAGAATACAAAAGCTGAAGTTAGTAACTAAAATAACAGACAGGTGAGAAAACGCTAGGACATACTAGAAAACTTTTCAGTCATGTTATCTTGATCACTTGTGACATACAGTATGTTAGTAGTGATCAAAGTTCCCAAGACCGAAACCTTTCCTAATATATCCCAGTGTTGTTCACTAAAGTTTATACTAGAAGTAATTAAGGCAGTCTTACCAGGTGTGGCGGCGTTGTTGGTAGTCTATATTACCTCCATCCTCACTCACACTTCCAGCTCACTGGAGCCTTACTCACTTCCAGCTTACTGGATCCTCACACACATCCAGCTCATTGGATCCTCACTCAGGCACTCCTAGCTCACTACTGACTCTCGAACTGCTTCACTTACTACCACCACCCACCCCTTTACACCTACCACCCACCCATCCACACACACCCATCCACACCTACCAATCCACACCTACCACGCACCCATCACACCTACTAACCACCCGTCCACACCTATCAACCACCCGTCCACACTCACCAACCACCCCTCCACACTTAACCACCCGTCCACACTCACCAACCACCCATCCACACTTACCAACCACCCCTCCACACACACCTCCCACACACTCACCAACCACCCCTCCACATAAAGGCAGTGCTTCTTTCGCAATCATAAACCGCGAAGTCTCAGCCTATCGGTATTTCAAAATTTGATCAAAAACACCCATGAAACTTAATGAAAAAGAATGCTTTGTGGCGCATCAGAGCAGTGATAAACATCCCTTGACTTCACTACCGCCATCTGTTGTAAGGAGTGTTATAAACATTCTCCCCCCCCCCTTCCACCAGTTCCCCCTCGTCTGTACTACCGCTATCTGGTATGAGCGCTGTTAAAATAGACTGCCACTATAGGTAGTTGCTTTCGGGGGTTATTAGTAATGGTTGTCGATATTTTCGTACAAGAGTTCGATGCGATAACTTGAGAACTCCTCTACTGATTGGCTTCAAACTGTCAACGATGACGTATCTTAGAGGAAGGTTGGGATTACTCAAACGGGCTGTGTAGGTGCCAATGTTTTACACCAGATTGTGATGTCGGTTTCCTTTCAGTCACTTCAGAATGCTTCGCCTAATCATATCTAGACATTCAACGCTAGTGTATCTTAGAATAAAGTTCGGATCGCTATTGGATTGTGTAGATGCCAATTTACAGTTTCATTTTAAAAGTTGTGTGGTATCTTTTCGTGTTATATTTTGAGAATATCTCCAGCCTGTAGAAACAGCCAGTAAGTTAAATGATTTCTCTTCTACCATAGGATCAAGACTAGCTAGCAAAATTCTAAGCACCAGTACTCGAACGAATGATTGCCTTTTTCGAAAGGTTCCCAACATCCTTCAGTCTTGCTCCAGCTGATCTTGCAGAGGTCACATGACTATACTGAACGGCTTTAGACTTGCAATACTGTTGCATTAACACCGAAGGAAAGATTATAATTTAGGTCTCTGTACGTATCAATATGCTCACATTTTAAGAAAGTTTGTTGTGAGGTAGGACACAGGAGAGTATTTGTGAGGTAGGACACAGGAGAGTGGTTGTGAGGTAGGACACAGGAGAGTGGTTGTGAGGTAGGACACAGGAGAGTGGTTGTGAGGTAGGACACAGGAGAGTATTTGTGAGGTAGGACACAGGAGAGTATTTGTGAGGTAGACACGAGGAGTTATTTGTGAGGTAGGACACAGGAGAGTATTTTGTGAGGTAGGACACAGGAGAGTATTTGTGAGGTAGGACACAGGAGAGTATTGTGAGGTAAGGACACAGGAGAGTATTTGTGAGGTAGGACACAGGAGAGTATTTGTGAGGTAGGACACAGGAGAGTGGTTGTGAGGTAGGACACAGGAGAGTATTTGTGAGGTAGGACACAGGAGAGTATTTGTGAGGTAGGACACAGGAGAGTGATTGTGAGGTACGACACAGGAGAGTATTTGTGAGGTAGGACAGCGAGAGTATTTGTGAGGTAGGACACAGGAGAGTATTTGTGAGGTAGGACACAGGAGAGTGATTGTGAGGTACGACACAGGAGAGTATTTGTGAGGTAGGACACAGGAGAGTATTTGTGAGGTAGGACACAGGAGAGTGGTTTGTGAGGTAGGACACAGGAGAGTGGTGTGAGGTAGGACACAGGAGAGTGATTGTGAGGTACGACACAGGAGAGTATTTGTGAGGTAGGACACAGGAGAGTATTTGTGAGGTAGGACACAGGAGAGTATTTGTGAGGTAGGACAAGGAGAGTATTGTGAGGTAGGACACAGGAGAGTGATTGTGAGGTACGACACATGAGAGTATTTGTGAGGTAGGACACAGGAGAGTATTTGTGAGGTAGGACACAGGAGAGTGGTTGTGAGGTAGGACACAGGAGAGTGGTTGTGAGGTAGGACACAGGAGAGTGATTGTGAGGTACGACACAGGAGAGTATTTGTGAGGTACGACACAGGAGAGTATTTGTGAGGTAGGACACAGGAGAGTATTTGTGAGGTAGGACACAGGAGAGTATTTGTGAGGTAGGACACAGGAGAGTGATTGTGAGGTACGACACAGGAGAGTATTTGTGAGGTAGGACACAGAGTATTTGTGAGGTAGGACACAGGAGAGTGGTTGTGAGGTAGGACACAGGAGAGTGGTTGTGAGGTAGGACACAGGAGAGTATTTGTGAGGTAGGACACAGGAGAGTGATTGTGAGGTACGACACAGGAGAGTATTTGTGAGGTAGGACACAGGAGAGTATTTGTGAGGTAGGACACAGGAGAGTGGTTGTGAGGTAGGACACAGGAGAGTGGTTGTGAGGTAGGACACAGGAGAGTATTTGTGAGGTAGGACACAGGAGAGTGGTTGTGAGGTAGGACACAGGAGAGTGGTTGTGAGGTAGGACACAGGAGAGTATTTGTGAGGTAGGACACAGGAGAGTGGTTGTGAGGTAGGACACAGGAGAGTGGTTGTGAGGTAGGACACAGGAGAGTGGTTGTGAGGTAGGACACAGGAGAGTATTTGTGAGGTAGGACACAGGAGAGTGGTTGTGAGGTAGGACACAGGAGAGTGGTTGTGAGGTAGGACACAGGAGAGTATTTGTGAGGTAGGACACAGGAGAGTGGTTGTGAGGTAGGACACAGGAGAGTGGTTGTGAGGTAGGACACAGGAGATTGGTTGTGAAGTAGGACACAGGAGATTGGTTGTGAAGTAGGACACAGGAGAGTGGTTGTGAGGTAGGACACAGGAGAGTGGTTGTGAGGTAGGACACAGGAGAGTGGTTGTGAGGTAGGACACAGGAGAGTGATTGTGAGGTAGGACACAGGAGAGTGGTTGTGAGGTAGGACACATGAGAGTGGTTGTGAGGTAGGACACATGAGAGTGGTTGTGAGGTAGGACACAGGAGAGTGGTTGTGAGGTAGGACACAGGAGAGTGGTTGTGAGGTAGGACACAGGAGAGTGGTTGTGAGGTAGGACACAGGAGAGTGGTTGTGAGGTAGGACACAGGAGAGTGGTTGTGAGGTAGGACACAGGAGAGTGGTTGTGAGGTAGGACACAGGAGAGTGGTTGTGAGGTGGACACAGGAGAGTGGTTGTGAGGTAGGACACAGGAGAGTGGTTGTGAGGTAGGACACAGGAGAGTGGTTGTGAGGTAGGACACAGGAGAGTGGTTGTGAGGTAGGACACAGGAGAGTGGTTGTGTTAAGTAGATGATCTCTGGTGAATGCACTACACGAGAGTGTACCGAGGTTGACGGTCACTCATGAGTGTTGAAGAAGACGCTACACTTTGTAGTAAGCTGTGCTCTTGCTCACAGTGATTGCTGAAAGTCATCAGTCGGCCGCTGACTCCACCTTGTTCTCTCGTGTAAGTGCTGTTGTACTTCATTTACTCAACTTCAAAATCAGTATTTATCTGTGAAAATAAGTGTGTGCCACAACTAGGTCAGGTTAACTGCGTGCTCTCTCACGCACGTTTGGGAATTATGCAAAACTTTTGTGGTTGTTAAATGGAAAAAAACAACAGTAAATCGCTGCAGTAAGGCTTGAATAAATTAAGCGAATGGATGGGTGATGAATTTTAATGTTGACAAGTGCTATGTAATGAAAGCGAAGAAAACTATAACAGACCAAATGAAAAGATTACGTTTTGATAAAATGATGAAAACGTTATACTGAGGGACGAAGACAAACTCTTGTTCCACACTGGCAGATCTCAACATAACTTTCATATCATTGATATGGATTTTAATATTAATGAGCAGATTTGGAACCTGTACATTATTTCCAGAGTATAAATTACTAATTGTTTCTTGCCTATGTTGCATGGATTACAAATTAAGTGACTTGGTATATCAGTGATGTGGTTTCTTAGGGAAGTTATATGCAGTGAAAATCTTTTATACGTTCTACAGGTCTGCAAATTAATCAGGCTACAAATTGGTTATGATAGCAAATTGTTAAGATACCAGAAATTTGATAATTATGACAGTAAATTGAATTCAGCAATATTATATATATGGTGGAAGCATCGGTTGTAGTGCTTAGTGAATCATACTATCAATCAGTATGACGGTGCAGTATGAAGTACCATGTAATCTAGAAGTGTTCTGTACACCCACTCACTTTCTCGCTTTATCCCTTACCTTAGTAGAAGTCCAGTATATTTTCAAGACAGGACTTGATGTAGGTAAACCTGATATGAATCTACCGTTCTGCAGATGTTGTGCCATTCTTCTGATTATCTTCTCCGTTATCTTAAATAATATACATTTACAGGATGTAGGCTGGTACTTCAGTACTACATGTATGCACCTTGTTTGGATATTTAAATTACTTTCACTGTTCCACCTACTTTTTCCATTTTCCACGTGTGTAGCTATTTGATGAAAGTTAAGACACGTGCAACATCTGGATATCTTTATTGTAGACGTTTCTCCATCCAGTGACTTTATCAATACAGATTCTAGGCCATAATTAGAAGACAGAATGTGTGTAGCTGCTTGTTTGTCGAGTGTGGTGGTCAGTCACCTGGCAACTACACACACATATACACGGTAACATCTTCACGTGTTAATATTGACTTGTTTATGTGAAGAAGAAAAAGCTTCTCCATAAATGCACAAACGCATTCGGTAAAACCTGAATTATTATGTCATGTTTTATTTTTTTGTTCGCTTCTCGTAATTAATGTTCAGTTAAGTATATCAAAATATCCCCTTCTCTCAGCCGTCTAATGATTAGCGGACGGAGGATCGAGCCTCCACCACTCCATGCACTGAATGACCCATACGGATTTAGTGCTTCACATAAATAATAAGAGCTCCCTGCAACCTTCAATTATCACTTTGCATT